TAATGAGGATAATACTTCACCAGTTCCTCGAATTGAGCCGCATACTCTGCAACTATCAAATTTCCCTGCTTCAATTCCAGGAATTCAACCTCTTTCTTGCCATGAACATCTTCTGGAAAATACTTCTCCAGAAACTCATTCTTGAACGTCGTCCAAGTAACAAGACTACCTGCAGCTTCTAGCCTTTGACGGGTGTTATCCCACCAGTCTTCCGCTTCTCCATCCAGCATGTGTGTGCCAAATTGCACCTTATAGGCTTCATTGCATCCCATGGTTCTGAAGATTTTCTCAATATCCTTCAGCCACTTCGGCGCCACATCTAGTTCGTGTCTACCCTCGAACTTAGGGGGATTGTTGTTCTGAAACTTTTCCAAATTACGGAACTCGACGTCCCTAGTACTCTGAGTGATGCCCTGCACCGCCTGTGCAACAACTTATAGCGTAGAAGCAATCACAACATCATTCCTACCAGCCATACTGCTCAACACCAAAAGAAACACATGTTAGAAGAAACACACGACTATACACACTCTATAGTCAAACTCTACTACTACACTGGCCGAATGGGCCGACCTGCTCTGATACCAATTGTAACACCTTACTCTATCCGTTCATATAATAATTGAAAAATATAAAAATAATACGAAATCAAATCAGAGTTAATACACGTAGGATATCACATTCCAAAAAACAACATCAAAGTGAAGTATTAATGCGCTTCACATTTTATTTATTCCATAAAATAAATAGCACGAATAATCAGCGGAATTAAATCAAACAGTTTAACATGTAAACACCAAATACATCAATTCCCCACGTAATACATGGTTCCACAACAATTGAATCAAAACCAGATACGTAACAAATACAAATTTAAATAACACGAAACATAACGAAATCCCCATCCTTCCTGTGTAACGTATAAGAGCGACTCCTAAGACTCGATAAAATAGCAATACAATGCTCCAAATACTACTCAAGTACCTGATTATTTATACTCCCCAAGAAGCACAAACACAACAAACAGAAAAAGGGGTGGGAACTAAATTTAATAAATACACAGTGAAAACACCTGCTAAGAGTAGTTAACACACCAATCACACAATTATCACGCACATACAAGTGCCACCACATCATTTGGTATAAACAACCCACATTCAATTATGTATATGTAATGCGACTCAACTAACACGAAACAATGCATGCGGTACCATCACTATCACATACGGTTCACCTTAGAACCCGATTCCCGTCGAAATCCGGATAAGTTGTATACGTTCCTATGAACTACAACTTATCTCCGCACGACTCCCACAAACAGTCCGAACAAGACTAGGCACCCATCATGGATTCCCACCTAACTCATATCCACATAACATGATATGAATGCATGACACAAACTATGTACCACATAATAATTATTATTCAAGCATAAATTTCACGATCCTCAAAGGTCACACACGAGCCACATGCTCACCGTAATTCTCTCAGAAATTACCACCACCGCACAAGACCGTTCACACACGACAATCTTGGCTCACACACCCAATACGTCTCGACTATACGTTCTCATAAAAATCCATATTTTATTCTACTTAGTGTTATTACTAGTTTCTCTTATGTCCAACTATACCATCTTATTCTTACGGATCAAGGGAAATTGCATCGCACGCGAAATCGGGGCAAAAATCACGAAAATGGGAAATTTTCACCACAACCCTGCCCATACGCGTATGACCCTTCCTCACGTGCGTATGACCTCATCCCTATGCTCCAGGCTCGCGTATCATATGCGTATGGCCCTACTTCCTAGGCCCCCATATGTGTATTGCCTCCTGCCGTACGCGTATGGCTAGAGGCCATTTCCCTCAGAATCCTCCCCAAGAACTCACCATACGCGTAAGGCTACTCCCATATGCGTATGAACCCATCCCTTATGTGTATCATACGCGTATGGCCAGAAGGCCGTGTTGACTTAGGGGTGGGGTGCGTATCACACGCATAATACCCCCTGCGTGTGTCCCCCATACGCGTATGACCATATAACATGCCAAAATCTCATAATTTGCCTATGCACGAGTTCTCACACATTGAAACTCATTCCATCACCCAAATCAAATCCAAAATCATCTTTTCTTCAGTTTAATTTCAAATTTCTAACTCTACTTCATGGTTTCATCATTCTTATCAACCTTTTATGTGTTAACAACCCGTTTTTCGTTAATCCCATAAATCCCAATTTCCAGGTCTGTTTTATCTCATAATTCAACAATGAATAATAAATTTGTACGAATTTACCATTCGAATTCAACATACATACAAATTTAGACACATATTCAGTACATGATTACAATTTAACAACAACAATCATCCCAATTACGAAATTCAAGCAAGAAGAAGAAAAATACACAGAACCTACGAGCGAAAGGACCCCCTACTACCCTTTCATGTTCAGATCACCTATACTGAATCTCATTCTCCCCCATTACCTGAATTTCCAAGCTTTGATCCTTCAACAATAATGGAAAATCCCCTTGTTCCCTTGTCATAACTCTCTTTCTCTTCTTTCTCTTCTCTTTTCACGTAACTGATCTTTTGTGAAAACGTCCCACTAATCACTCTTAATTGTTTTATTTATTTTATTTATCCCTAATAATTGCATTAATAATGATAATAATAGCAATAATAGAAATAATACTAATACTAATAATAATAATGATACTAATAATAATAACCATAATGTTACTAATATTTTTCACCTATTATTAATTAATTATCATTATCTTAAAGTTTTATTGATTTTATTCCATTAAGGTTACTCCTCACACTCACCCTTAACACCTACCCGTAACCAAGACAATGTCCAGCAATCACACAAAATAATCACAAAACGACTAAATAACTAAATGAGGTGTTACAGTTACAACCCCATGAAATGCCAGAATGTGTTAAACATAGAATGTCATATTGTGTTTTCAAAGTATGCCGACTTATAACATTTCCATTTGAAAACCAATAATAAAAGTAAGTAAAAACAACCCTTGAAACAAGTGGTTTATGTGCAGATTAATCTAAATTCAGTGAAAAGTCAGTGAAACCAATCTAAATTACAAAACTATTAAGTGTTGATCATTTATGTTCAGTGAATAAAAAGATAATTCAAACATGTATCAATCAGTTCTAGTTCAATGTATCAAGCTAAAATGAATAGTTTGTTATAACAACACGTTATCGCACTATGATTGAAAATAACGGTTAACATATATTTTAAGAGCAATGAAAAAGGGTAACATAGTTACAACAAGAATGAATACCTTGTTATCTTGGATAACACATTCAAAATGCTGCTGCTTATTATGCTCCTTAATAATCTACACATCAACGACACGAATGGCAAACTTCTATACATTGTTATCAATCTTCAAGTCAACAATTATAATGGGTGCTTTAGACATGGTGATCTGAAAAGAGACAAATGTAAAATAACGTGTGTAAGATGACATATGAAGAAGGCAATATGTTTCACAAAAAAATCCACAACATGATGGAAAAAATAGACAAAACGGTTTGCATGAACGTTGAAGTTTCTAACTTTCACAGAAAAAACACGAGCACAAAACAAAAAGATTCAAAACTTTCAAAGAAAAAACATGAACTTGCAGTTATAAACTTATCAGTATGGCACAAAATGATTCGCACAAAACAGAACCGTGAGCACAACATCATTGAAGAACCTTAAAGAACTACATATGGACAGAAAATCAACTTTGGTCGCAACAACATCATCTACTCTCCCGATAACACTTTTCCACTCACCTTTTTTTTTCGTGCATCCGCACATTGCTTCGAATGTTGTTCCAACAATAAATGATTATTCTTTTCCGATTGATCATCTTGCACACCAGCACGCAAGTGACGCATCGAATTCTCTAGCCGTCTAAAGCTATAGAAAGTTGCAAAATCTAATAAGCTAACATAAATTAAATCCCTTTAATATCCAATGTCAACAAACACTAATGTCAACAAACATAACAATGCAATATCTATATTACACAAACATATAAATAAAATTGTCAAAATCTATACAAAGAATCAACATTCAATCTCATTTTTCATTATCATAGCAATTTTACTTACCAGAGATAAAGAGAAGCAAGTCTCGTTTTCCTAATGCTTCTCCTGTCAGTTTTGTTTTTCTTGCATCAACATTGAGGTGTTTCTCTTTTCTTATTTCCAGATCGAAAAAAAAAGACACATGAGATGCATCAAAATCTATTAATAAACAAAGACAGAGAAGAGAAAAAAATTAGAAAGTAGAGCATAGAAAAAATAAAAATATAATCAAACTTTAAACTTGAGATCCTTTCGGTTTCGTTCGTCGCGATGATCATCCATAAAATCATCCACCGTCAAGACTTCATTATCTCGTTCGACTTCACAATATTCAGCTTTGAGATGTCTGGATCTCTGTGCATGAGATTCTTGTTCTTTGAAAAAAAAGATGAAGATTTAGAGATGAATAACAAAAACAAGAATACAAAAATAGCTTTTCTTCTGCTTCAAAGTTTTCATATTATTCTTGGAGGAAGAGGGGGAAGGGCGATGGGAAATGGTTCTAATGAAATGGGAAAAACTAAAAATTTGAAAATAAAAAATCGGTTGAGAGAGAAATAGAGAAGAGAGGGAAAATATTGTTCTAAAAGTGGAGAAAGAGTAGGAATGTAGAGGAAAAATATCCAATACCGAAATGACATGTGACAAAAGCAAGTAATATGGTTGATACAAAAGAAATGAATGTGTGATTTATTTTTTTCTCACTAATTAGGCTGGAGTTAAAATTGATTACAAGGTATATTAGGGTGTTTGAGTAAATTTTTCGTTATTTGGTTGATAGTTGATAAATAAAAGTAAAAAGCCACTAAAACCCTCGGATATAAACCCTACTTCCTCCTTTAACTAATTCGGATTCACAGACACAGTTGCGTTGAGCAAAATACTAAATGGAGTCCCTTCGGTTGAAAACTAACTACCGATGTGTTCCGGCCCTGCAACAGTTTTACACCGGCGGCCCCTTTGCCGTCTCATCAGACGGCTCCTTCATCGTCTGTGCATGCGGCGATTCCATTAAAATCGTTGATTCCGCCAACGCATCCATCAGGTCCACCCTCGAAGGCGACTCCGAACAAGTCACAGCTTTGGCTCTTGGCCCCAACGATAAAATTCTCTTCTCTTCTAGCCACAGCCGCCAAATCAGAGTTTGGGACTTATCCACTCTCAAATGCGTGCGCTCGTGGAAGGTACAGTCAAATTAGGTTTAACTGTTTAAGTTCAATTCAATGTTCGGTTATGCTCATGCTTATGCGTATATGTATGTAGTGTAATTGATTTTGGTGTTGTTTTAGGGTCATGATGGTCCTGTTATGTGTATGGCTTGTGATGCTTCTGGAGGTTTGCTTGCTACTGGTGGAGCTGATAGGAAGGTCCTTGTTTGGAATGTTGATGCTGGATATTGCTCGCATTTCTATAAAGGTCACGGTGGAGTTGTTTCTTGTGTTATGTTTCATCCTGATCCTGAGAAACAGCTTGTGAGTCCCCCACCTTAATGCTATTTACATTTTTGCACTGTGTTTGTGCCAATATATGCATTTCCTTAGTAGGGATTAATTGAACAAATTGTCACTACCAAGTGAATTGAATCATAATCACTGACTACTGTCATGTGAGCTACACATTAAAATCCTCTTTTACATGTAGAAAGTCTAGAAAAGAAGACATTTTCTAACCGATTGATTCAGAGTGATTAATGACGATGGGTGACAGGGACACGAGTAGTGTAAGATTTAATTGATGGCCATATAATGTGGTTGTGTCTTTTTATATCCTTTCCATTTCGGTTTACATTTTGTGATTTTTGAAGAACAAGAAAACTTAAGTTAACGTAACATGAGAAGGGTGGAGGAGTTTAGTAGTTCTAAAGTAAAAGAATTGATAAGATAGTTTGTTCTATTCCTTTTAATACAAGCAAAAGTGAATTTTGTTTATCAATTCCCTATCACTATTCACTACTTGTTTCCAACCATATGCAAGTGTTGAATCCACCTTCATATATTTAACTTTTCCTAATGGAATTTGTGTATGCAGCTTTTTTCTGGTAGTGATGACGGGGGTGATAATGCAACTGTAAGGGTTTGGGATATTTCCAACGCCAAGAGAAAGACCTGCATTGCAATCCTAGATAATCATCGCTCTGCAGTGACTTCCATTGCAGTATCTGAAGACGGATGGACACTGCTCAGTGCTGGAAGAGATAAGGCAAGATTTATAATGTTCCACTTTCCTTTTTGTTTTAATTTACCCGTGATACAATGGTTTAATGTTGTTAAATAACTGGTATAACATTGCTATACTGCTATTACATAGTGGAATTTAGACCAACCGTGGCAGATGAAACAACACTTCTGTCAGTTCTTTGAACTGTTGTGATTTTGAGTTCTTTGTTAGTCACCTTTTTAATTTCTGTTTATGCAGCTTTTATTTGTGTGCGGCGTGCTTCATTTTATTTTTAGTTATTTATTTCAACTGCATTGCGGCTTCCGTTATTTCTTTCCTTACACCATGAACTTTTTCTTTTCTTACATTTTGTTTATTTTCTTTAGAGTGAGATTTATCCTCAATTTTGAACATTGCTTAATTTGTCTGGATGGCAGTTTTACTAGTAGGCCAAAACCGCAATGAACTTAATTTATTAATTTGACAAATTGGTCTGTGGATTTGTATTGGCAGATTGTAACGTTGTGGGATCTTCATGATTATAGTAGCAAGAAGACTGTCATCACAAACGAGGCAGTTGAATCTGTTTGTCCTATTGGTGCTGGGAGTCCTTTTGCTTCATCATTAGATTCATATCGGAAAAATTCAAAAAAACATTCTGGTTCCCAAGCAACGCATTTTGTTACTGTTGGTGAGCGAGGCATTGTGCGCATATGGAGTTCTGAAGGGTAATATGTGTTTTTTTTTTTTTTTTTTCCATTAGTTAAAATATTTCTAGTTCCATATCAATTTGCATGAAGTAAACTTAGTTATTGGTGGACTGAAATGAAAGCCGGGAGGTATGCAAGGACCCGAGTAATAAACTTGGTAATATAATTTGTGTTTGTTACTTGGAGTTTATTTATATGGTGGCAGCCTGTAACTTGTAAGTAATTTGGCACACCTAAATTTGGGATATAATATTTTTTACCAACTAAAGGTGAACGACCTTTAAATTTCAAAATTGTCTTAATCAAGATGGAAGCCGTGCACTCAGTTTTTTTATTTAATATCAACAGTGCAGTTTGCTTGTTTGAGCAAAAAGCTTCAGATGTTACAAACAACACAGACGAGGATGGCTCACGTAGGGGTTTCACTTCTGCTGTTATGCTTGGCTCGAATCAAGGATTGCTTTGTGTGACTGCAGATCAGCAGTTTTTGTTTTACTCTCTGAACTGGATTGAAGAGTTGTTGCAATTAAATCTTACCAAAAGACTAGTGGGATATAATGAAGAGGTTGTAGATATGAAGTTTGTTGGGGATGATGAAAAGTTCCTTGCTCTTGCTACAAATCTTGAACAGGTATAAAAATGTGCTAGTAGATTTAAACTTTATGTTGAAAAAAGGATAAATTTCCATTGGTTGCATTGCAGGATATTATTTTCATCTAATTTTATTTTATTTGATGTAGTGTTTGTTATTGTCACTGCGTTCAAAATTTGACATAGTGTAATCTTTAAATGTATGCACTAAGTGCTGAAAATGATCCATGTTTCTATTTATTGGGATAAAAAGTAATTATTTACATTCAAGAATCAAGACCGAGACTATAAGCACTAAAAGAATTTTTTAGATAGAACATTTGGGAATGAGATTCCATTTATGGAGTTTTTTCAATCTGTAATTGATTACTAAACTTTTGAAATAAGACCATTTTTTAATTTTCAATTAACAAAGAGAATACTGTGTATTCAACTATTTATGTTTAATAGAATTTTGCGATGTTCTCATGGTCTTATTTATGCTTTAGCTGCAAGTTGTGAGTCATGACATTAAAGCTTATTGGTTTCATACTTTATTTTTAATGTTGGAAACCATCTGTTGGGTAAGGATTAAAAATATTTTGCTTGGTGTTTTGAATGCTCATTTCGAATTTTTTCTGTTGTCATTAGACCCTCATAACATTATGTTATGATCTTAGGTGTAGATAAAGTAATGTGTGTGTTCTTTATATTTATCCAAAATCCAAATATTGTTTGATTATAGTTTCTCACCTTAGTAAATATAATATAAGTAATTTAACAAATTATTGCAAATTAGGACAAAAATGAACACGTACATGAAAAATAAAATAAAATGCTAGTCAAAAGCATCTTGCATAGACTGGTGTAATATCACACCAGAAAACTATATATCCTAATTTTCTGAAATTTACTAATCCTAATTTTATTAAAGCTATACAATTATTTTCATAAAAGGAAAAAGGGGACGTTGACTCCCTATTTGTTGGGATTTGAATGATTGATAATGTAAGAAGTTCAGCATTTGATTACCATCCTTCAAGTCACACAAGTGTGATGTTTAAGTTCTCGGCCTTTAACGTATTACCCTATTGGAGCTTTGCAGGTTCGGGTTTATGACCTTGCATCTATGTCATGTTCTTATGTCTTATCTGGTCATACTGAAATAGTTCTATGCCTTGACACCTGTGTATCAAGTTCTGGGAGAAACCTAATTGTGACTGGAAGTAAAGATAACACTGTAAGTTTTTTGTCTTTGGTCTCAACTAAGACTTTGAACTTTCTTCTGCGGGAACTCTTATATAATGTTTGTGTCCTAATAAGTTAATAATAATGATATGCTTGTAGTGCACTGTGTTGAAGTCAATCTAAAATTATGTAACAATGTCCACTTGCTGTATAGGTTAGGTTATGGGACTCAGAAAGTACAAGCTGCATTGGAGTTGGTAAAGGCCACATGGGAGCTGTTGGAGCCATTGCATTTTCAAAAAAAAAGCGGGACTTCTTTGTTAGTGGCAGTAGGTGAGTGTAGATGGATTAAATTTTTTCTTCATAACAGCAAGGATTTGTTTATTTTTTTTACTCCATAAGTTCCTGCATTTTGGAGTCACTTTATATGGGTTTTCTCATGATAACTCTTTTAATAGTAAAATAGTTGCTGTATAACTGTAAGATGAAAAAGTGCATGAAAGTGGTAAAAAATTTATGGTATGCCTTGGTTTTTTAAATCTATTCATAAATGATAATGTTATAAATGAAAAAGAGGGTAAATAATTTGTCACTCTTATTTCTCTCACAGCAGCAGTTTAGCACCAATAACTAGTTAGAAATAATATTTTCAAAAGCATTCCGCTGTTGAGTTTTATTGCTATCTGTTGCTCTGTTTTGCCAGTGACATTCTCAATTTGATATATAACATGTTAAAAAACATTATGGTTTACCTATGCTGTGTTGCCAATCTTTTAAAGAAGACAGTCACATTTATCTCTTTCAAGACAGTCTTCTCCCCACGGGTCATTATCCCCAAACATCAAGTTTGGCTTTCCTGTTTATTTTTTGATGTTTAACTTTTCTTTTTTTTATGCCGTATGACTTGACTGTTCCAATATGTTACCAGGTTTATCGTTGAATCCTCTGGTTTTAAACGTGCAAACTTTCAGATACTACTATACTGTTTAAATTTATTTCTTATGAATGTTGAATGTTTCTCAGCGATCATACTCTTAAGGTGTGGAGTATGGATGGTCTCTTGGACAATTTGACAGCTCCAATTAACTTAAAAGCAAAAGCTGTTGTTGCAGCTCACGATAAAGATATCAATTCTGTAGCTGTTGCTCCAAATGATAGTTTAGTATGTAGTGGTTCTCAGGTTGGTATTATATCTGACTTGCAAATTTCTTTAATCTTTTATATTAACTAATCTTATTAAAAAGGTGTGTTCCCATTGCTGACTATAGTATTCTTTATCATTTTTTTAACGTGTAAAGACTACTTACACTGGCTTCCTTCCTTTACTCTTCCTGTTTGAAAATTTTGTGCTTCCATTGTAGTTACCATTAATTATTTTTAAATGTCTTCAATCAGGACCGCACTGCTTGTGTTTGGAGACTTCCAGATCTAGTATCAGTAGTTGTATTTAAAGGGCATAAAAGAGGAATCTGGTCTGTAGAGTTTTCGCCTGTTGATCAATGTGTAGTAACAGCATCCGGGGACAAAACAATAAGGATATGGGCTATATCTGATGGCTCGTGTTTGAAGACATTTGAAGGACACACCTCAAGTGTGTTAAGAGCACTGTTTGTTACTCGTGGAACACAGATTGTTTCTTGTGGTAAGGGGCTATCTATAGCTGATTTTGTTAATTTCCAACATTTTGATTGCGTGTGTGATATCCTCAATTAATATTTCAGGCGCTGATGGTTTAGTAAAACTATGGACTGTAAAATCAAATGAATGTGTTGCCACGTATGACCATCACGAAGACAAGGTTCTACTCAATCCTATATTATATTCTTATATTCCCATTTATTGCGGTTTTTCTCCAGGCCTGATTGGTTGAGGGATTATTTTATATCTGTGTTTGGTCGAGGGTCCTCGCAAATATGTTGCATACTTCAGTTCTCAAGTGGAGTTTTGAATCTTTTATTATTAGTGAGAAATTTAGGATTTTATCTATTCACCTCTCAGCCAGAAAACTGTATAAACGCCACTGAATTCTATGCTCTACCGAACATTCAAATTATGCTTTTCTTGATCATTTATTATTTCCAAACTTAGAGAAACTTTAATCCAAATTATTAGCCATATCTTTTTATTTTTGCCTTCAAGTGTGTAGATAATATTTTGGCAGTGACACATCTCTGAATTCTTCTTGCTCCATAAGATAGTTTGTATAATATAGATGATTATATATAACTTATTTCATGCTCCATAAGATAGTTTGTATGATATAGGTGATGATATCATACTTATTTAAGCATTTGATCAACATTTAATATCAGTATAGATTTCATTTGGTTTGAATATAAAGACTAGTTAGAGCGGGTCGTTAAATATACCCTATATATTTACAAAGTATTTTGCATCATTCATGCATTTTCTCAAAATGCAGTTGCAAGGTTTTAATGACCTTTCTGTTGTTTCTCCCACAATTTTCCTTGACATATTAGTTCAATTTTTTTGGCCCTTGTAATCTAAAGCTGATTTTTTTTACTCTGCAGGTTTGGGCCTTGGCTGTAGGCAGCAAAACAGAGCTGCTTGCAACTGGTGGTAGCGATGCTGTTGTCAATCTGTGGCTCGATTCCACTGCAGCTGATAAAGAAGAAGCTTTTCGTAAAGAGGTTTGTTAAACTGACTGTGCATTTTCATTTTCCACATAGCATTGAGGTTAAATCAACGATTGATGATAATAATGATTGCTAAGTTTGATTCTACAATTATTCCCCATTACACAATGCACAAATTTTGATGGATAAGTGGTTACACAATCAGATAAAATTAGAGTTACATGATACTAATGATTGCTAAGTTTGATTCTACAATTATTCCCCATTACACAATGCACAAATTTTGATGGATGAGTGGTTACACAATCAGGTAAAATTAGAGTTAGAGTCAACAGAGAGAAATACTCTTTAAAATAATGTGTGCCTTGTGAATTAGAAAAGTTTTAGGTCTCTGTTAGTGTGGCTATTATTGTGAGAGAATAAAGTAAATTAGGTTGAGATAGTAAGGCATGTTATCTATGAGTAAGAGGAGAGGTTGTGATCAAGAACTATGATATGATTTTAAGATGTGAGGCATTTTACATGGGAGAGGCATATCCTTGAAGTTCTGCAACATCTTTGTAATTGGAGAGTTTATCCCAATTTCTTGGAAAAAGATACTGGGTTTTAACAAAAAGTAATATGGTTTCTATTTTTGATGCAGGAAGAGGGGGTTTTGAAAGGCCAAGAGCTAGAGAATGCCCTGTCAGATGCTGACTATACCAAGGCAGTCCAAATTGCATTTGAATTGCGCAGACCCCATAAACTTTTGGAGTTATTTGCAGAACTTTGCAGGTTAGCTTTTATCTATTTTATGACCTGAATCTTATTGGTATAAACATGACTGACACCCAAATCTTGTTGTACAGAAAGAAAGGAGCTGAAGATCATGTTGACAGAGCACTTAAGGCCTTTGGCAATGAAGAGCTTCGTTTATTATTTAACTATATTCGAGAATGGAATACAAAACCAAAGCTCTGTTATGTCTCACAGTTCGTGCTTTTCAGAGTTTTCAACATCTTTCCTCCAACCGATATTGTTCAGGTGTTTTTTAGCCGTTCTTTAAGAGGCTTTATGAAATTCGTATCCGTAATGCTACTTTTAATCCATTTTTAGATTTTGGAAAAACATTTTCGCATCCACTGTTTATGTCAAAAAGGGTTTAGGCATATGTATCTTGGTTCAATTTGACAGAATATTTTTCGTTTTATCTTATACATTTGCAAGTTTTTGAGGAAACAAAAAAAAAGTCTAACATACATTTTTTATGGGACCTTTCAGATTAAAGGGATCGGGGAACTGCTCGAAGGTCTTATACCATATAGTCAGAGGCACTTTGGCAGAATAGATAGACTTGTAAGAAGCACATTTTTGTTAGACTTCATTCTATCAGGAATGTCAGTTATTGAACCAGAGACCCATCAGACGGAATCAAAGGACGAGTTTCCATTACGATCTGAAATCGATGCTCCAGATCAAGAAAATGGGAAAGAGCAGAAAGATTACACTATTGAAAATAATACAGCTTCAAAGAAAAGGAAATCACACAAATCTAGACATGAAAATGGGATCGAGGAAAAGGATCAGATTCTTGAAAATGATACAGCTTCAAAGAAGAGAAAATCAAACAAATCAAAACATGGTTCCCAGAAGAAAGTCAAGGATGTTGCTTACAACAAAATTGAACCTATTCAATTACAAGCATAAGTTGGTGCTTTCATCCTCTCATGTATACATATGTTGATTGACTGTTGGAAGAACTTCATTCCTTCAAATTTTTGACGGTTGCTGTCATTAAAGAATATTTAATTAGGCCACAATTTTGTTGTTAATTACTATGTAATTTTAGCCACTGCTTTGTATTAGTATTTTTCATGTAGATCATTTTTCAAGCTTGCTCCCAATGTGTGGTATAGAAATGTTTCTTCAGCTGTCGATTGAAAGAAAATTTGTGACAGGAAGATTGCATACTTTAGCATGAACTCAAGCGTTTAAACAGTACTGCGCGCTTGAGCTTGTGTTTGTCCCACATAAGCTTATTATTATTTTAATGCCTGTTATTTTCTTGTCATAAATTTGTATCGTATTGCATCAGAAACATGTAAAAAACTTGTTTTTAAAGAGATTCCATTCAGATGTTATCCTATAGATTTATTTGAAACTTTTACTCAAATATTCCACATTTTCAAAAAAAAAAAAAATTCACTTTTCAAATTATTTCTCAAAGCACCCCACTTTAAGGTATTGATAGAGTGCAAGATGAATTGGTAACTCCTTTATAGAATAAAAATGTGTCAGCCAATTGTATTGGAGACACCATACGGTGTTGTCAATTCAATTGACGATAAATGATGTTGTCAATTCATTTGGAGAAAGCCAATTGTATTGGAGACACCATACGGTGTTGTCAATTCAATTGACGATAAATGATGTTGTCAATTCATTTGGAGAAAGGGTGCAACGTGAATTTTACTATAAATAGAGGTAGTATGATCATTTATTTTTACATCTTTTCTCATATTCTTGTATTAGTGACAACATGTATTGTCCCTGTTACGAGAAAGTGCTTTATTCGAGTTTGATTGTTTTAATCAGTTAGAAATGTTGTGTTTATCTGTTATGATATATGTTGTATGTGTTGTTTGTTATTAACTTTGTTGTAACAAAAAGTCATTAATATATCAAAATCTAATGTTACAAAAAGGAGAAACTAAATTATGATGTAGAGGTTGTTTTGACATATACTACATAATTTTATCATTTTATCAAGCGTAGCTGACACACAAACATCACAACAACCTTTATGGCTTTTAAACACTACTACCATTTCAACCTTTCACCAACGAATCCTTCACACCAATTCCCTTTTCAATTGTCCAGGCCGCACACCAATGACCCCTTCATCACATCCCAACTACTCTGGTATGGGTCGTAAAATTATTTAAGAAGACGACATCTATCGATCTCTAGTAAGTGGCACCTACATTTTAAGGGCGAAAGGACCTTATAATAATAGTTGCATTTGTTGGTCATGAATGCAATTTTGGGCGCGTCAAGTTAGTCCATTTTAATTTGGTTTTATCCAATGTAGGTGTCCATTAAGATCAAAGTCTTGTAACCTAATAACATGTCAATTAATACATCAATGTTTGGAAACATGTAAGTGATTTAATGGCACGCCAAATTCAAAGTGAAGTTTACACACATTCCCCATTTCCCAAATGTCTTTAGAACCAAAACTGTGTTTTCCAACCGAGTTGGGTATTTAATTTTAGTTATAAAGTTAGCCTCTTTCAATTTTCCAACTTCTTCGTCAATGGCCACCCGCTTCTCCTTGTATACCTTACACTTTCTCGGTGCTACTAGATTGAGTTGTTAATGGAAAGACGGTAACATACAACTCAAGTGTCAATCCTCGACATATCAAAAGAGGTCCAAGCGAACACATCATTAATTTTTTAGAGCAAGGCAACTAGATCCTCTTCTCCGACTTCCATCATGGAGGTGCCCAACTTGTTGGTGTGGAATTCAAGCGAATCTATTTAGACCTCTTTTAGGTCCTCTATCAACATAATTTTTTCTCTTCCAAGCTCTTCTCTAGGTCTGAATCCACGAAGTTCACCCTATGGATATCTAGTTGTGGTGTGGCATATACGACCACTGTTTCTCTTCCGATTCTTATAATATCTTGGTAGAGTTTTTGGGAGGTTTCTTGACCTCTTTGGACCATGCTAATACACACATTATTTAGTGGATACTTCACGCTCAAGTAGAGCATTGAGAGAGCGACTTCTAGAAGGTTAAAAGAAAATTTCCCGATAATTATGTTGCAAAATGAGGGGGTATCGTTGATGAGATACCTAAGTTTTATTATCTTGGTGTTTTCCTTTAATACCAACACCATTTTGAGGGTGATATAACCATTCACTTGAACCTATTCACTAGAGAAACTGACCAAGGAGCCCCAAATGACTGCAGATTGTATGGATCCAAGTTCAATATCTTAAAGTCCCAATACATGATGTTTTCTGAAACTAGAGCACCTCAGATTTTCATCAGAGAGCGGCTGTGGATCTAGGATCTCATCTTCTTCTAGTGGGTTGTCTTCGTGATGCCAATGCTGAAGGGTAAAGTTGTTATCCTGCATGGTTTGGTTGGAGAAACACAATTCCTCCATAGTGGCTTACATCTCCGCTATGGCCTTATTATAGTTGCTACCGCTGCTACCGGTGGAGGTGGTGTGTAACGCCCCGATTCTGATTTCCCATTTTTGTTGAGTCTTTTTGATTTGATTGAGTGATTATTATTTTAAATTGTGGAATTTATGTGTTAATAGGTTATGTTTGCATATTATGCTATTTTACCGATTTTGAGAGTTTTCGGAGAAAATAGATTGGAGGGTATTTTAGACATTTAGTATTTAATGTTAAGTTGGATAATTTGTGAGAAAATGGATTTAATAGATGTTTTGAGAGGAATAGAATAGAAAGAAATATAAGTGGAAAGAGGAGAGAAAAGAGAAAGAAATAAAAAGAAGAAAAATAAGAGAAAGAAAGAGGAAGAGGAGAAAAAGAGGAAAACTTGGAAAATCATCAAGAACAACATCTAGGATTCGATTTAATCGGGTAAGGGTGTGAAATCTTATTATCTTATCGATGTCTATGATTATGTATGCGTCTGTTTGGATTTGTTGGAGAGTTTTCCATCTTTTTCCATTTTAGGTCTAAATGGATTAATCGGTAAGAATCGATGTTTGAACGGTTAGAATCCGAAATAAATGGAGTAGTTTAGTCGGGTAATGTTGGGCTAAAACTACTGGAACTGGTTGGGATTGAATCGATTGATTTTTGTGATGATTTGGTGATCTTGGACAGTTTGGGGTTCTGAGTTCGCAGATTCGCTAGCGTTCGCCAGGCGAGCAGAAGCGAAGGTTCGCCAGGCGAAGCCCAACGAGTGGGTAGCGAACCATTGCAGTAGCCAAGATCAACCTTCGCTGGTGTGTTCGCCAGGCGAAGGAGGTGGCGAGAGGGTTCGCCAGGCGAAACCCAGCGAATGAGGTAGTGAATACTTCCAGTAGCTACTGCCTGTCTTCGCCAGCGAGTTGGCCAGGCGAGTGAAGCAGCGAGCATTCGCTAAATGCTTCGCCAGGCGAAGGTCAACGATTGTGACAAAATTTTTCATTTCTTGTGTTTTCCATCCAATGTTGATTGTTTGGTTCGATTGTGTTTAATCCTTATCTGAAATGTATAGTTTGTGTATTATTGTGATAAGATGTGCTGTGGGTAGCCGTATGACGTGAATCCTAGATTGTGAATTGTGAAGTGTGAAATGTGGTCGTTTGGAAATTATGTGCATTGTTAAATTGAATGAAAATGCGTGATTATGTGATAAGAGTTCGTAGCCGTGTGGGTGGTAAAGCGATGCTCATTGCCGTTTGGCATGATTGATATGAATGTACATAGATTGTATGTGCTAGTATGAGATGAATGCATGAAAATATTATGAATATGTATGCATTTCAAGAAGTGTATGGAGTCATTTTGCATGTGAAGCATCATGATATACACTCTTGTGCTGATTGATTCCGCGTAGAATCTCCTGAACGATTGTGTGCCCGTGTGGGGTGTGAGCAATTGGATTGTGTGCCCGTGTGGGTTGTGAGCAATTCATAAACATTATATGCCCATGTGGGGTGTGAGCAATGGGTGAACATCGTGTGCCCATGTGGGGTGTGAGTGATGGTTCCAATAAGTTCCTGAGTGAACTTGAGATGATTGAGTCGGTACCGCATTTGCATCTGCATAGAGTCGTGATTTGGTCTCTATGAGTTGCATTTATCATCATGAATTGTGTATTGGTAAATAAACATAATTGTAAATGTTTATGTGGAGTGATGAATATGTTTAGTGTGAATATATACATTGTGATGTATACGAATGAATGGTGAATATATGCATGATGAATATGCTTGGTGAATTATATATATGTTGCGATATATATATATATATATATATATATATATATATATATATATATATATATATATATATATATATATATATATATGATTGAATTGTGATGAATGTGGTGAAAATGGTGATATGTGTATTATTATGTAAATATATAATTATATGCATTGATTATTATGATAATATTTCTCACCCTTCTGCTATTTTATGATGCTCTATGAGGCATTGCAGAGTAGGATTGCTGGAGGTCTTTTTGTGAAGCGTGGCTTCATTCTTTTTGGTCGGTTGACTCTGATATGTAGCACCGGGTAGCTAGGATTGTATATAATTCTTTTGTGATACGTTGTATATGTATCTGTTGATGAGATATTTATGAAAACATGTTGAATGATGTTGTGAATCAAACTGAATGATATATATATATATATATATATATATATATATATATATATATATATATATATATATATATATATATATATATATATATATATATATATATATATATATATATATATATATATATATATATATATATATATATATATATATATATATATATATATATATATATATATATATATATATATATATATATATATGTTTGAAGTGATTCAATGTTTAGATTTTCCGCTTTTATTCTAAATATTGAGATGTGGGTGTAAGGACTAAGTTCCTCTGTTTTGAAAGTTACCCCACTGTTGCATATCTTGTTGAGCAGGTGTTGTATGTGTTTTA